GAGAGAGAGAGAGAGTTGCATGTGTTCTCACCTGCGGGGCCGGTCCCAGCCCGACTTTGACCAGAAGGTCAACCGGTTCTCCAGTTAAACTGCTGCTGGACTCAGTCAGGACCTGCGGGTCTGAAGCCCTTGTCCAGACCTGTCGGATCGCCGACGAGGCTGGGGGTCCTTGCGGCAGAATAGCAGAAAAAGAATCAACCGCCGAGCCAGTAATGGGGACTCGAAGTAGCCGTTTCAAGAAGGATAGCTCGGGCTGGAAAAAGCGGAATGCCTGATCCACCACTGCCGGATGGCTCACCACACGCACGACAAGCTGACAAAACAGTTCTCCCGAGTTCAGCTCTTTGAAGTTTATCTGAAAAAGCAAATTAAACAGAATAAATCAGTATTTAGTGAAAAAATTATGAATCGTCACTTAGACAGCAAAAGTTCAGATCTCTTCTTCGTACGTCCTATTAAGTCACGAGTCTTTTAAAGTGGCAAAACGAAGGGACAGTGGTACAATCTACCGCTGCGGATAGGAAGTCTGTTGGTGAAATATGAGAATGAATGATCCGAGGTCACATGAGCCCAAAATTGTGCTTTGTTCACGACTTGTAAACCCGTCGAACGACAAACGAAGTCGAAGTCATTGAGGTTGTAAGGCAACCTATTTTATTTTTGCAAGAGAAATGGATGCCCCAATCGAACCCAAAACAAGGACCCCTATGTTAATTCTTTATTATTTGAGGCAAGAGAAACCCTAAAAGGATGCATTTTTCGCTGTCCACATTTGGCTTAAGTTGAAGTCAGTCGCTGATCAAGACAATCGCTCAACTTTTTGTTAAAGGTATAGTTATGTTTTATTAGATCTGTATTAATCCTATTTAATACAAGATCATGAAGGATTGATAGTCCAACTTTCCCACGATCAGCTGCTTGTGCTACCTGGACATAGAAGCAGCCTTTTGAGTTAAGATGTTTTATTGAGCTCTTTTTCAAGACTCGATTGTTGAGCCGCCTGTAAAGAGTCGAAGGAAGGGCATGAAAATACTTAGTGAATTGGTTGAAAAATTCACTTTATAGGTGCCTTTTGGTCTTGACTATACCGTAGCCTCACTGGAGTGACGATGAAGCGAGAAGTGAGAGTGATTTACAAGTTTTCCCCAAATTTGTAGCAATGTAGGGGTACCAAATAGGAATAAGCAGGGTTATTATCATTATAAGGAGGCCTAAACAAAATGGATAAATAGTTTTGGGATCAGACAAGGGAGAAGCAGCTGTGCTTTGCACAGGAGTTGTTGTGGAAAAAAGGATTTAGACTTTATCCGATTTTTGGCCATACAGAAATACTGAAGTCAAGACTTTATCGATGCCTATATTATTGCATCCATATTTGTGAGGTGGACGAACAGATACTCGGTCTCCGAATGCAAATGGTCTGCTCAAACTTCACACAGGAGCATTGTGAACAATAAGGGTTGTGTGATGAATAAGGCATCACTATTTATTTGCGGTAGAACAAAGGAAATTTCAGTATTTGGGCAGTCTTCAATAAGGAATTCGTGTGAATTTATTAGATTAGTAGATCTTGTAAGTTTTGATGTAGCGTCGAGTTACATTAAGATTGCGATGAGAGTAGACCATGAAAAAAAGAAGAGG